ATGCTACAAGGAACGTCTAACTTTGCCAGTACATGTAACTTTTCATGAGCCTATTGTGCACCTTGGAGTGCTAAACGAGATGTACAAGCGGGAGAAATCGCCAAATATGTAGCTTTTTCGAACTTCAAGGGCTTTTTATATAGAACAGTTTATTTTCGATTATTATTCTGGCGGGACTTTGCTGTAATTATTATTAACAAATTTCCATAATTCTCTTAATTCCCATTAATGCCTTAGTTCGCCCAATTCCATACTCTTAATAATGTGTAGCACAAAAGAATTCTCAGAAATCTGGAAGTATCCCCGAAAATTGTTCAAATTTCAGTAGTGCGAAAGAATACATCGATACTATTGATGATATTGAGGGTTACGCGATTATAATTACAAAATGTAAAGTTCAATCAGTGCTATTATTCCAAGAATTCAGAATTTTAGAATTCTGACGTTCTACACACAGAGTACGCTTTACATGTTCTGAATTCTTCCATAAATGACTCGTTTACACTTCTCAGTGGGACTAATAGAAACTTCGACTACTTTTAAATAATAGAAAAGTTTTACACAAAACAAAAACGAATTTTTCTGTAATTTGGTACAAATAACTATAGTAGTGTGCTTACTTATATTATAATATAGAATTTTAAAAAAGTTAATTTTTTAAAATATTATTTTAAATTTTTTTTAGAAGATTTAAAACTCTTATAAAAAATCTTTGGCTTATTAAATTATTAAGGTAAAATATTTTTTATAATATATGACTGTGGCTCTATAAAGTTACGATTGCAGAGAGCAAAATTTTTTTCTATTAGTAGAGAAAATAATAAAATAAAATAAATTCATCAGATTCATTAAATCAAATTTACTACTATCCGCTACGAAATGCAATGCCCCAGACTAGTTTTTGAGTATCTCGGTAATTCAGTGTGATATAGAGTTCGGGTTTTCACCATCCAGAAGAAGATACTTTGAGGCACAGTTTTATAATAGATATTAATTCGAAAATATTTTTTTAAAGTAGGTTTTTAGCGAGATCTTTAGAAAGCCAACTCATAGCTCAAAATCTTCAAGTACAAATACTTTCGTTTTCCTTCATGGACGGATAACTCAAAGTGTCCTCTTTAAGATGGAAGCCAAGCGAGATCTTGGTTTTCACTATTTCGGGCGTGGAATCGGATTTCCCTGAAACCGTAGGACTGGTATCCAGTGATTCCAGGTAGCCTTGAAATCGAATGGAACATACGTAATCGACTACGCTGGATTGGATGACAATGTTTATTTTGCGAATAGAATTCAAAAACGCAGCGAAAACGGAGTTTTATCAAAATTGAGGTGTTATGCTGTTTTTACTTAATATTAGAATTTACTTCACTTAATATAGAACAGCATAAATTATAAGTAATCGACTATCGTTTAGACACATGTGCCAGTTGTGTTTTTTTCTCGTATATAGGCTTCTTATCGCACAAATACCGCTTATATCTGAGAATTTTTATTTTTTCGATAGATACGGCCACAATCAGCTTATTTTGTCATCGATAATTAAAAAACTTTTTAATGAACGTTTACCATTTAGCTGTGCATCAAGAAAATTGTTTATTAAAACTATATTTGATGATATTACATTTTCAGAAATAAAAGATGATTTTAATATTAGTAAAACAAGATTTTACGATTATCAAAAAGTGGAACAAGAAGATGTTGAAAAAGCATTTTTTTATAGATATTCAAGAAGAAAAGTTGATAAAATGGAAGACGGAGAAATAGATTTAATATCAAATTTTATCAGCGAAAGATGTCCAACATTTAGTGGCAAAGGAAAGAATAAACCTAAAAGATTGGATAACCTTGATGAATTATATGAAAGTTATTGCAATTTGATTTTAGAAGAAAATAAACAAAGAATTAAAAACGATGGTTGGGAAGTAATCCAATTTTCTATTAGAAGTATACATATTATGAGAAAAATAATTGAAGAAATTAGAGCAAAGAAACGAAACGTACGAAATTTGAAATGAATTTTTTATATCCACATTGTCTTGACGGATACCTTGCTAAAAGAGATTTAAGAAACGAAAAAGATCCAAAAAATATTAAAGAAATTGAAAAAAAGAATTTCAAATTATAATTATCATGTTAATAAATTTTATCATCAAAGAGAACAATACAATTATTTAAAGTCCAATATTGAAGAAAATGAAGTTTTATTAACAACAGATTTTACAAAATATTCATATAAAGTTACAGATTTTATTATTGAACTGAAATATAAAGATAAAATTTCAAAAGAAATAATTACAAAATATTATCACAATTTAGCTGATAGAAATGTTAAAGGAGAAAAAAGTCATGATGGATTTGCCGGATGGAATTTTGCAATACATTGTCTAGATTATTTATTTAAAAATGAACAAACATTTAAAAAATCAGAAAAGATAATCTTATTTTCAGATAGTGGACAAGATTTTCACTGTAAAGAATATTTATTTTTATTAAGTGAAATTGCTAGTAATCATAAAAAAGAAATGGAAGTTTATTTTTTTGCAGAGTATCATGTCTGTAATGGTTGTGATTCTGCTGCTGGTTTAGTTTCAATAGTAATAACAAAATTCCAAATTGAAAGCAAAGAAGAATTTAATAGTGGAGAGAATATTTTTAACCATTTATGCAGATATCAAAACGAAAAAGACTCATTAGAAAATCATGTTATAAAATTCTACAATAAAATTCCAAAACGAGAAATTACAGTTGAGAAATTACCAAAGAAAGTAAAGAAATGGAGACAATGGAAAATAATTGGTATTGGATATTTTGAAATGAGAGAACTCTATTTATGTGGTGATAAGGACACCCAAAAGATAAAAAGAATGAAATAAAGCATTTTTTAAATTAATTGTTTAGTCGTGATATTACTCGTTTTCTTACTTTTTTACAATTGTTGTTATTTTTTGTACTCTTATTATATATTATCTTATTAAAAAATTTACTAATTCTGGAAATCGTATGCTTTCATTGGACGTGCTGCGCTCGAGTCGTCTGGTCCATCCAAATGGGAATGGTTTTACGAAAAGTTTTTCTGAAAATCCTTGGAAGATCATCAGAGGGTTTTGATAATATGCCCATTGGACAGGCCGTAGCGGACTATTTCTGCAAGTATTTTGTTGGAGTTTCAATAAATCCTGAAGGATTTTCTGGAGATCTCTCCGAGAACCTTCGGTGACCCCTGAAGGCCCTCTGAAGATCTCGCGAATATACCCACTAGATGCACCATAGTTGATTACCTATGAATCCATTTTTTCTGCGCATAATCTTTCGCGCTTTATAGCAAACTGCAAATTGGATTAAAATACGAAGGAACAAGGTCTCTTAGTTGGTCTAAATAAAAAAGAGCAACTTTTTTTTAATTTCTCAGCGTAACTTTTAGCCGAACTGCGTCGTTTGTTATCTCTTTTTTATTATTTTTCCCATTTTACTTGTTCATCCTTATTTCTTACTTTTATCATTAATATACCAATATCTTTAATAAAGCTATCAATTCAATTATATATATGTCCGAATACGAAAGCCGCAGATCTATGCGACCTAATGGTGCAAAGTTATCGAGTTTTTAGTGCAAAACTACCCGTTTTGGAAAACACGACACTACTAAAGTTTTTCGAGTTTTTGACGGGGAAAACTTTGTCTAAAAAATCTCGTGACCAAATATTCGTGATCAGCGTTGAAAACTGCATCGAACGAGGTGTAAATGAGCCAAATCTAAAATCTGCTCCAATCCTGCCTTAGCGGCATCTTACATGGATTTTCTTTTTCGATATTCTATCTCTCATATAAATTTTCTGACAGTTATGATCAGTTTCGATTATCGAATATAGTAGTTTTAACTGTAACAGTTTTACAGTTCTGCAGTTTGTACAGTCGTCTTTGGTTTGAAAAAAGAAAAAATGAATTTTCTTAGCAACGGAGAGGAATTTCAAAAATTTTTTGCTTGCGTAAAAACAAATTGACGTGATATAAATCAAACTTACACCTCTGAGCAGAAAAAACTAGATTACAGTTAACCGCAACTGTTGCATACCTAGTATACGCATGTCTTCATTGAGTGTAAAAACATATTTTTTGTCTTTTCAGATGTTCTGTCACACAAGATCACATTTAAGCGGTACTTTTCTGTTTTGTGCATATACTTCACTATATATACCAAAAGGGAACTTATTTGTGTATACACGGGTACAAGCATTTTGCTTGTGAACTCTGTGTCGCACGCTGGCGTGTGGATTTAATTGGTCGAGAGCTTCTCAGTTCAGAAACGCAAAAAAGGTATTTTGAATGCCACACACATAAGTTAGAATCGCTTACTTTCTCTTAAATAGGTGTATCCCACCCTTTTTAACCTTTAACTAAGAAAAGCGTTATCACAAGATACAGAATAGCTAGTAGTCAGTTTTCGTTCATTCTCAAGGTTATTCAAATAGATCTTTCCTGCGACTTTCGAGAAATGAATACCCTCACCAAAATCATGAAAGATCCGAGTTTGTTTTAACATGTTAGACTATGGAGGCATAGTAACAACTATAAATTAACACAATACTCAAGTGAGTGGAAGGATTTTTGTAGAATAAACGTATTCACATTTTGCAGCTAATTTGTTTTGATCTTGAGATTTATTTGAATGACAGCTTTCGAATCGACAAATTAATCTTCAGTGAAAAAAACTCGTTCAGAATTCGATATATGTATACATATATGAAATATACTGAAAACTTCATAATGGACTCTACATCCATATGAAAGAGATCATTTCGAATCACTCACCTTGTATGTCATCTCAAATGTAACGAAGTATCATCAAACTTCTGTCTTACACAGTCTAGTACTATGAACAGTAGGATCTTTGAACATGAATTTGACAGTTTTATAGGTTTTTTATTTAAAAATCGCATAAATACAATACAAGAACAAGAATAAATACGTGAAATGAAATCCTTGAAATACTGTACAATTCTAACGTATATGCAACATAGATAGTGAAACGGAAGACGGAAAGTAAAATATTTACTGGCGGCCCTCATTTTTTTCCGCTCCACTTCTAACCAAAGAGCAATATATTCCGCTCTGAGTGCTATGAAATGGAAAGAAATTTTTATTTCATGATTGACTGTTTCGGAAAACGACGCCTTTTCTATACTTGTTTCTAACATTTCCTCTGTAGAGAGAAAAACACAACTTGAAGAACGAAAATTTTATTTAAAGAAAAATTCAGAAGTTGAACAGATATGGTGTGGACGATATATGCCGAATATGAATGTATAACAGGAAAAGTACAAATATGCCTGATTAGTATTATTGTGTTCATTTCTCAGCTGTTATAAATACTTTTGCACATTCTTCTCAGTTATTCATTGCATCTTTCTTGTTTTTTTCGTCCATCAATCTCCTATTTAACAGAATCTATTTTGACACGTTGTGTCGAAAATTCGTATATAACTAGCTGTCTATATATAAAGTGATTACTGTATATATATACAGATTTTCCCTCCGACGTTAAGGTAACTCTTTTCTTTTAATAAAGAATGAATAAGGAAGATATTACCACTATTGTTAAAGCACTCTCTGATTTACTATTGGAGGTAAGATAATGGTGTATTATTATTTGTCCTTGAGGTCACTGCTGTTCTAGAAAATATGTCGAATGTATATTCGCTCAGAAGTATTTCATACTTTCACAAAGTCTTATGAAATACAAAATCTCATTTATTAAGTAGCACATAGTGTAAGAAAAGTGCTACTTTCCTGTCTAAGATTGCTGTATATGTACAATTTCTTGTTAGTTTATTCTCTTAGCAATGAATAAGATTTTTATCGTGACTTTCGTTATTATTAACATTTATAGTTCATTTTTAATCTTTTTCATTGTTTACAGAAGTCAACGATAAATAACGTCACAATCTCCGGGGCTCACAATAGTATTAGTTATAACCAACAAAGAACAGCATACGTTCCAACTCATCAACAGCAAGGAATCTTGAATCATCCTCCACTGAATGCTGAAGAATGTTCTGAGTCTGTGATAAACAGACGATCAAATCTTGTTGGACGTTCGTATGGTATACATCATAGACAACGCACAGATTATAGCAGTAAACCTAGGTGGAATTGGCATCAATTGACATCTTCACAGCAGCCACTTTCACACAGTTCATATACTCCATCATTTTCTCAAGAGCAATCATTGAATCATGCACATAGATTCAAACATGCATCTCATTCGGTTTTTCGTCCATCACAACAGGACAATTATAATGACTTTTTCCAAAAATGGTCAGCGTCGTTTAATGCAAATGTACGAAAACGCTGGTAAGTGGAAAGGGTTCGGTTGTAGCATCGTTTCTCATGATTATTGGCTGTTTTTTTAAGTTATGCATGTAACAGCCCTCAGCGTCTCATCGCAGAATGCGCAATAAATAACGAAAAGAAAAGTGTAAGTTCACTTGAATTGATTGTGATCGCGTTTTTTGGCTTTTTTTTCTACGTATTTTAGCGAACAAACGTGAACAAAAGAAAAAGTGATATTCTTGCCTATAGTGGCATATGATAAATGACAAGAATGTTATTTGTGAGATAAAGACTCATTTACGTTTTTTCGTGTTTATCTTTCGCTGATTTCATTTCGCGTATTTCTGGTTATTAGATTGTATCATTTTGTAATCCACCATTGTCGATGGTTTTTAAATAAAACTGTAAAATCCAAAATTCTAGGGTTCATAGTAGAGGACTGTAGTACAAGTTTTATAAAATCTGAAAAAAAGCGGGCCAAAAAGGAAAGCAATCTTGGAATTGCTACTAAATCTACTCTTTATCATATTTTTTAATTATGAGCTGATCGGGTCGGTTGATAAGACTCGACTGGATCGGTGGCCCGGTCCAACTGCATCACTGCTTTAGATTACTTTATAATGAGTTCTGAAGAAAGTTCTATACTTCTTTACATATCTAAGCAGAGAAAAGTCTCCTGAATCTGGTAGTGAAAAAGTTATTTAGGTTTTAATTAAAAATTCAAGTAAGATTTGATTAATTGAAAAACTAGTTCCCCGAAGTATAGTGAATGCTTAACCCTTTATTTGGGAATATTAGTTGCAGCAACTCTGAATATCATCCAACTTATTCAAGTTTTCGTACTACTTGTATATACGCATGTGTGTTCACTGAAAAGAAGAATGTTTTTTGTTTTCACACTTTCCGTGACATTTCTTTCAGTTGTTCTATACTGCAGAACGAGTCTTATCAACCGACCCGATCAGCTCATAATTAAAAAATATGATAAAAAAGAGTAGATTTAGTAGCACTTTGTACTGCTTAGAAAAAGAAAATAATTGTATTCGTTATTCTCTGCTTGAAATATTCATACTTTTCACCATTCCATAAGAGTTCTTGGAAAATCTGAGTATCAGTCGGTTACCGGTCAACCGGCTAGTCCGATCCGGTCAACAGGTATCTGTCTAGTGACCGGACGATACGGATTGCAGTTTTTTTGACCAGTTGCATCTTTGATCGAAAGTATTCACTGAAAAGTCCGTTATTATTAGGCAGCATTGACTCTATATCTGCGTATTACTCAAATGAAAAAAAAATGTGTTGAATAAGAAAACGCTCTCCTTTGGTATATGGACGTATACACAAAACAGAAAAGTATCGCCTGAATGTTATATTGTGTAACAGAACATGTGAGAAGAGAAAAATATATTTTTGGTTTCAGTGATGACAAGCCTGTAGAAGTGATACAAAAGTTTGAATACATTGAATGATAACTGAGAGTACACAGCAATTTAAAGAGAGAGTTAAGAGATGTAAATAAAATTCCTGTGTACTTATTTTGAGGTCAATCTCTGGTGAAATGAATTGCATCGTGTTACCGAAGAGAAAGCCGGGTAAAACATGGGTGAAATTAGTGTCCCACTGCCTCGAGAAAAAGCTCTTCGGAGAGAGAGTTTGTTCCACCCTGAAATTTGTGCTTTTTCCTGTTCGTCGACTCAATCTGCACAATAACCAAGACTTCTTGAGCAGAAAATAAAAATCTATATCATATATAAAGGATTCTATATCTTTCTTCACTTCGAGATCGTGATAAGAATGTAAAAGAAAACTTCCACTACTTTGTAAACTGTGGGATTTTACAGAAATTACAGTAGCGCTCACGATTTCATACATATAAAATCATCAGCTATAAGATGTATGAAACCTTTCAAAATAAAAATAAGAATTAATTTATAGACTTTACAAAAACAATTTCGATTTTCTTGTTGTGTATTTTTGACTGGGCATCCCTTTTCTTGCATTTTCTGAACTTCGTAGAAATATTTCACTCAAAAGTTAGTTCGACTTTCTTCACAAAATTCTAACATTAGTCAGACTAAACAAAATAAACAAGATTGAAAATAAGAAAATGGGAGTCGACCCCAGTAAGAAAATAAATGCTGTATTTTTTAATTGTGCTTTAGTTAATTCTTTAAGATTATTATTTTTCAAAGAAAGAGCATTAATAGTAAAAAATAAACAGCGTTTTGCCAACGTAAGGGAAATTAGCAGCAGATTTCTATATTTTCGCCTAACATTTTTTATTAAAGCTGTGCCACCTTTGAAAATAAGTGTGCCAGATAGAACTCGATGAGCTCTACCGAATGACAAAATCAGCTTTCCAGAATCTCGTTTCCTTCGCTTTTAAACTGACAATACTGATTTTCTCAACGAGACGAAAACTCAAACTTTTGTATTTTCGCCGAACGTTTTTTATTAAAGCTGTACCATCTTTGGAAATAAGTGTGCCAGATAGAACTCGATGAGCTCTATCGAATGACAAAATCAGTTTTCCAGAATCTTGTTTCCTTCGCTTTGCGAAGATGATGATTAACATCTTCATAGTTGAAAAGATTCAAAACAGAATTACGTAATGCGACAGAAAAATCAATAACAACGAAAGCTGGATGTATAAAATTTTGCGGTACTAGAACAATACACTTTCGAACAGTTGATAAATAATAAGAGATACCGGTAATAGAATGAACTGACAACATTGCACTGCTTAAGGGGATAAAACATGATGGGTCAGCTCCGTCCTTGAAAGTCATTGCATATAAATATGTCCGTTTTTGATCAGTTAATTACTTGATTATTGACCCGGTTGCGTCTATGTGAAGTGATGCATACTTAACCGATTGACAATATTTAATTTATCTATCAATTTGCATTTCAGTAAGAAAATGAACACAAAACGGGTATTCACCCGCTGTATGTATGTAACCTAGAAATAGTTATTCATCATCAAATAATTATCGCCCTTCTGATCAAAACAGTATACCCACATGATGACGTCCAGCTTTACTAGGAAATGTCTTCTTGTCCATCAGACAAGACTCTTCGTTTCCCCGCAGAAAACCGCTGTTATTTCGGTTAGATGAAAGGGGCATTTAGATATTAGATTGTAACAGATATCTGGTGCGTTCTAAAAGGTTTTTTAGAGTTTTTGTGAGACATAGAGAAACATCTTTTAAGAGACGAAGACTGCTTTCTTATGTCTAACGTACCTATTTCATGCCTTTGATTATCAGATAATGGACGGCTGACAACCTCATTCTTGTGGTTTTCATCTCCCAACGCTTCAACACAAAATAACAACGCCGAACGTTTTGATGGTTCACCATGTAATTTAACAGATACGCAGATACTGCATTATCTATGCTTCCAACGAGCAACACAGGAAAAGAAAGGTGATTTGGTTTTTTGAGAGTGTTTTAATTTGATATGATGGTATTCAAATATAAAAGTACATGTTAGTTTTGTTTCAATTAATTTTCTATTAATTATATCACACCAGTTCTTTGTCAGTTTCCATTCTTTATGATTAAAAAATAATTTAAACTCATCATCTCTCATTGAAAAGCACAGAGTTCTTTTGTGAATTATTAGTGGTTTATCATTAACAAGATGAGAACGAGTTACTTTCGGTTCTGCGGATAAATTCATTGATAATGAAATATCTAATGGTGCTGGTAAATTTGTGACTATCTTGTCTTTAAAAAATGTGGTTCGAATTGAACGACGATCCTGCCTCCACACGGTATAAAGCCATTTTCTGGCACTTGCATCTTTTTTAATTAATTTTGAATTTTTCGCCAGACGTCCCCATATGGATGATTCTTCTCGCCAATTGTTGTGGCTATCTAACTCCCGATAATCTTGCCCTAACTGTTTAATAATTGTAATTAAGTCATCAACGCCGCCAACCGCCTCCCATCTATTATCAGACTCATTGACCTTGTTTCGAAAACTTCTCGAAAATGTTTTGATCATTTAGAACACAGATACTGGGGTTTATGGTTACATAATTTTACGTGTATTCAGATGAACGAAAAGTGTGATGTGATGCGTAGCAATTTTCGTAAGAAATATACAACATATACTGTTTAGCTATTTTTTTCCATGAAAGCAGCTTTATTATCTTCTGTTCAATAACATAAAATAATCATACATATTTTTCAACAGGTTGTTTTTTTTAAACTTGATTTTATCTTAATTCTTTCAAGAGTGTAGAACGTCACAGATCCACAGATTGCACTCTCGTTCCAATAATGCCCAGTTATGATCAGTGGGAAAAATTAACTGTTAAAAATGAAAAGAAACTCATTCCACCACTGGCTCTTGTTCAAGTACCACAGAATTCATTTATTGCATGTGCTGATGGACAATTTAATTTATAAGGTACTCCTGTCGGTACCTCAAACAGTAGTCTCGTTATACTTCAAAATGATACGTTGACACGACCGGATATTGATGTGTTTAACATTCAGAAATATTATAAAACTGCGATTTATTAATTCAGGTATTGATGATATAATGCATTATGTGGAACAGATTTCATCCTCCGATAATTCAAATATTAAAATAAAGACGTGGCATAAAGTATATTATTCTACAACATTAATGGTGGCTGGCACTGTGGCTGTTATTGTTGTTCTTATTCTAGTCGCAACTACAATTATTTCTTTATT